TTAGTCTAACTTTCAGTTAATTATTATTATGCTTTATAATAGGGCTATCTACGCTAAAATAGTTTCAATATTTGTTTCTAGTTTGCCTAAATACGTTTCCATATTATAAAAGGGGGAAGCGAATAACTTTGCTTTAGGCTTCTCTACTAGTTTTCTCAATTGTGCTTTTAATAAGTTAGATTTTAGTAGTATATAAAGCCCTATCTAGAATTTGCTAATCTTTAATTGTAGTTAAATATATAGGAAAGGGAATAACGCTTTAGTACTAGCTGCTTTAATTAAGACTATATAGAAGCATTTAACTATAGCTTAGGCTTCTATCTGTTATATTAGGTTAAGGATTTTAGTAATGCTGTTATTGGTTTTTCTGCTAAGAGAGCGTAAATACTATATTATAACTATATAATCCGTTTTTAAAGCTATTATAGCTTAGTAAAGTTGTTTTATAGCTTATAGTCTAATATTAGCAAAGCGTTTAAATTAGCTAGCGCTCCTCTATCCTTAAGTCTTAACTTTAGCTAAGTGATTCTTAAATTGTAATTTAGAGTTAAAGATAACTTTTAAGATTCTTTCTTTTATTAAAAGCTTAACTACGTAGTTACTAACCTTTAGTAAAGGGTCAGTTTTGCTAATCTTTCTCTAGTTCCTTATAAAGTGTATAAGAACTGTCTTATTGCTTTTAAATATAGCGCTACTGTCTTTTGCCTATTAGAAGGCCTTTAAAATAACCTTATTATTAAGCACTAATATATTTCTCTTAATTAAATCTGAAATGGCTTATTATATATAGTTATTTACAAACCCTATATTTCCTTATTTTTTATTAATCTTTTCTTTTATTAGAAATACATTGAAAAAGATATATAAAATTAGAGCAAATGTGGATCCTTATAGAAGACTGGATTCTGTAAAGGTGACTTAACTTGATTCTATTTTGTTAACAAGTACTGTAGCTAGTTAGTCTATATAGAAGGAGTTAACCTATATTATTATATAAGCTAGTATTCCTTTTACATATAGCTAATTAATAAGCACTTATTAAAAAACGCTGTTATATACTCCTTTTATATTAAAGCTAATAAAAGAAAGAACCTTCTTCTATTGCTATGCTTTGAATACTTTCTTAGTTAATAAGAGCAGCGCCTAATTATATAATTATTGTAGCTTAGCTCCAAATTATATTTTTAAAAGGAGGTTAAAAGTTTCTATTTAGTACAATATTCTTTTTACTAGTATTAACTTTATTAGCTTGCTTAGCATAGTTAAAAAGGAAATAGGGCAGTATGCTTTTACTACTTAGTAGTCCAGTTTTCCTAGTTTCTATTATAGTAAGATTTGCGCTATTTTCTATATAGCTAGTATATATCCTAGTTAGTATAATGTATTAAAGATATTAGTAACTTAATTGCTTAAAATGGATTATAAGCGTTTCTATATAATATTTGGAATGCTATCTATGCCTAATGCTTTATATAGGCTAATTTTAGCTATTACTTTAGTTATTTTTTTTAACTAAAATATCTAGATTGTTTATTTTTCTTATATTAGGATTTAGTACATTCTTTTTCTATTTTTCTAAAACTAGTAAAAAGAAGCATTAAAGTAGCTTAGTTGCTTTTACATTATTGCCTTTAAGCTCCACCTTTTAATTATTAATATTAGTAATTATAGTAAAGATACTGCTAAATGTAGATAGTTAAGGATTAAAATATCTAACTGCTTTTTAAATGTTGTCTATCTGTATTAAAAAGTTGTTTTAATGTAGTTGCTTCTTATTGCAGATGCTTTTATAAAATTAATGCTTAGCTTATCTAGCTTCTTAGCAGCTTTCTTCTTTATCTAGCCTTATTATCTATAATGTGTTGTTCTAGTTTTATTATTAAATGTATTTATTATAAAGCTCAGTAAGCTCATTATCCCACTATGCTTTTATATATAGGGATTCCTTAACTGTTAGACTATAGTCCTAAATGTACTAGCTTACTGTGTCCTAGATCTCTATAACTGCTTAGTCTAATTTAGTAGTATTATTTATATTAACAACTAATAGTTCCTATTCCTTAAGTACTTTAATAGCTTTGTCCTAGTCTGTTTTCCTAAAGTTGTATTTAGCTTCTGCTGTTATTTTCTTTCTAGTCTTTTTAAGCTAAAGTATTATAGCTTTATAGTCTAACCTATATTAGGTTAAATAAATACTACACTTTATAACCTAGCTTTTAAATATATTAGAAACCAATATAAAGTCAATAGTAGTTCCAAATTGTCCTTTAAGGAATATAACTATGCTATTTAATAAAGCTAAAAAGGTGTTATATTAATATATCTATTAGAGCACTAGTTTGCTTTCTCTTATGTATTAGAATTGCAGCACATTAATTCCTCTTTATATTAAGTTGTGACAGTTAAAGTTGCTTCTAACTATAATAGGGAGATTCTCTCTATGCTTTGCTTTAACTTTGTAAATAGTGTTGCTTAGCGTTATAAGCCTATATTATGGCCAACTATCTTAGGTAAGATAACAGGTCACAGGGTTAGACTTGTAAAGAGGAGTATTAAACAAAGTAAAGCAGGTATATATAGTAGTGTATACTAAAGGGACTGTTAGAATAACTATTTGAGTCAAACGCAGGACTTCCTAATGAAGACTAGCCTACCTATATACCTAAGCTAAAGGGGGTGCTTAGTAGTGCTTAGTGTGCTTAGCTTCCCTAAGCAGTACTGAGCAATAGAGCAGCTACGCTTAGTATGCTCAGCCTGCCAAGGCCTACTAAGTAGACTACATAAGCTGTGCTCATTTGTCTGCAGTCTAGTGTATTTGTCAGTCCAAAAGGCAGGGCGCCTTGTAGGATTGTAACAGCCTAATAGTGATTGCCTCCTTTAATTCCTATTTAGAGGAGGCGTACTAGCTGTAACCTAGGATATAGATTAACGCAATGAAAATATAACTTATTAAAATAGTAATAACTCCTATTATTATATTTAATAATTATATAGGAAATTGGATAAATGAAATATCTTTATAAATATATAATAATAACTAAAAGGCATAATGTGTTAGTCCTTCTTATTAAATAATTAGAGTTACAGTATTTTAGCATTAATATTAGTAAATATAAGATTTGTTACTAATATTGGCAATGCTTAGCTTTATAACTATAATTGCTATAAATTAGTTAATAGATTAATTATTAAGAAAGCTAAGTTGGACTAGGGATTATCTATTTACATTTACTAATAGGAAACAGGTGTCTCCTATTAAACGTTGCTTATTATAGCTTCTCTTCTAAAACGCTAGCTAATAGCTGTTTACCATTCCTTATCTCTGCTTTAAATGGACTGGTTAATAGGTTAGCTTCTGCTTTAGATCCTATTAACCTTATTATAGTAGGCTAGACACTTAGCATTTATTATAGTATATAATTCTTTATATACTGTATATTTTAATGCTAAGGCTTTATAATTATTTGTTTTATAATTCTTAATGTATTTACTATATTTTAGTAGCTAACTATATTTAGCTTAATAATAGCTATATATATTATAATTATAATATCTCTAAAGGCATTAGAGTTTTTAATACTTGCTAACTATAGCTATATTGCTTTTAACTTTAATTATATATTTATTAAAAGCTCTTTAGGCATTTTCTACTATAATAAAATAAACTATTATAAATCCTATAGGTTTCTCTCTTTTAAAAAGTTAGAATGCTTTAATAGCCTTTATAAATTTCTTTTTAATACTAAACGCTATTATAAATTCTAATTGGATTTTACAAGTACTAAGCACTAGAATAGCTATTTTATATATATTGTTTATTTTAATTAGAAAGAGGTTCTCTTTTTAGGTTTAGGCTATTTTAAATATTTAATAAACTTATTTATTATTTAATTGCAGTTAGATAGCGTCTTTCTCATTCTAAATAAAAAAATTTATAATCTTTATTTTAACTTAGATTCTCTTAATAGTAATATTATTTATAAATAGTTAGGCAATAATAGCTTCTCAGATTCTTTTCTTTATAGCTTTATTATTTTTAGCCAATTTATATTATTTAGCTATTAAGCAGCTAAAGTCAATTGTAGTTTCTAAAAGCTGGTGTAGTTTTTCTAAAAAGGTAGGTAGAGTTAATAGCATACTATTGCCTAAGCAGGGTTAAGTAGCTAATAATAATAGATAGATAGACTTTAAAGCTATAAATATATATATAGTTAGTAATAAAGCCAGTATATTAAGATTGGCTATTAATAACTAGCTTAGTTATTTAAAGCTTAAAAGGACAGTTCTGCTGTTATTGACTTTGGTATTAATAGTTCTGATCTTAGTATTAAGAACCTTTATATTAACGCTTACAGCTTTGAGTTTCTTTTTAAGTTCATTATTTTTCTTAATAAGCTTATTATTTTTCTTTACAAGCTTATTAATTTTTTCTATACTAATATTAAGTGTTGCTAATAAGGTGATATTCTCCTAATAGAGAGTCTCATTCTGGAACTGGATCTGCTTAAGCAGTTTGTTAACTAAGTTGTTTTAAATGTTGATTTTTTCGTTCTAGGCGTTTACTGCTCCTTTAATGAGACGTTTCATTATGTCTTTTGCAAAGACAGCATTGTCACTTAGATTAAAGGAACGAATAGGCTGAATCAGCCCTCTGTTCTGTCTAGTGTTCCTGGCTCTTCTCTACATTGCTATGGCAGCGTTCTGTTCCTTTAGAGACAACGCTGGTATGACTATAGCGACAGCGTTGCTAGAACAGTTGGGCGGCACCCTTTCCCTTAACTAAAATCGACGGGAGTTGGATAGTCCGACTTGTCAAGTCGACTTGTAGATGAATAAGTCAATAAAATGATGAATATCGATAAAAAAAAAATATCGATGTCGTCTTTGTTCTCCCGATAGAGCATGCGTCATGAGGCGGGGTATTCTAGGCCGTTCCAAGCTGATCAGCTGTGCCGCAAAAAAGCTACATAATCGTTTTAAACTTTGCTGATTGCAACGAAGCTGCTGTAGCTCAGTGGTAGAGCGTGGGATTGCAGTCTAACCGCAATCTATCCTAAGGTCCGTCGTTCGATCCGGCGTAGCAGCTTCCTTTTTGGTTTTCCCCGGACGCCTTTCACTTTTTTTCCGCGTCCCACGCTTAATCCATCGCTCCCACTGTCAAGATATTCATTCTTCACATTTTTTTCGCATGACTTCCTGCGTTTATCATCCGATCCAAGACACTACCCGCGCAAATGTAGTGAGGTCATGGAGACACACACCCACTTGAACTTACGAAGCGTACAAATGCAGGCGGGCGACCCTGGCCTTCAACTTCGTCCAAGCTGAAGTCGAATGTGAAAACATACCCGGCAATTGTAGTCATTGTCCGATCACTTTGGATAATGCATATGAAACATTCAATGAAATGCCGTGAGGAGAATATCACGCGCTGATGTTGGCCACCACTTCGATCCTGTCAAAAGCAATGTGTCAAACAATCCTTCCGGCTATGGTAAGCACAGGGCGCAAGAGAGGAGCTTGTGGAGCCAACCACAATCTCGGGATACTTGGCGCCGAATCCCTTGTAGGTGCTTTTCATTCCACGAATGACCGGACTTTGACCAAAGAAGCCTTTGCGTTTGACTTTTCGACTTTTCCAAAAACAAGAATAGTGCTATCATGTCCCGAAAACGTTTTCCAAAGCCATTGGCTGACAATAGTCGGCCAATGTCAAGATAAGGCAGGATCGTTTACATGATGATTCTTGGAGTGTCTTAAGCCTGTCCAGGCAGGCAACATGTGTCTTCAACACGAGCTAATACGATCTCGCCTAATCCTTCGCTCGTATGAGTGGCCACGACTATCTTAAAGATCGCACGCAATCTTAGTGTTCCAAGATCATCAAACATTCTCCAGGCACAACGTGTATCATTCTTCCGAACATGAAACTTGCGACTGAGGAAAAAGAACGACAATCGTTCGTAAAGTCGCTTCTGACAGTCGACTACGAATTGCATGTTAAAATCATCGAGGCTGCTGGCAGAGCGCAGAACAACTTTGTGTATAGAGTAGAGCTTTCGTCGCCAGCACTAGCGCGATCCAATGCCTTTACACAAAAGCCTGGCGTCTCTGTCATTCCAGAGAACACGACAAGACTGTGTTTGCGTATCTCCAATGATGACGCGTCGCTCGAAGATTCAGTTCGCGTACCCAATGAAGTCGCATTCATGACGCTTGTGCGCGATGCCCTCTCTTCACTTCCGACACGAATTGTTCCCTTGTGTTTCGGATGGGCAGATAAGGCTTCAGGTCGTGGATGGATTCTTCGGGAGTGGATGGAGGGTGAAACCTTAGACATGGATAGACTACGAAAGCTGGGTAAGATAGGGGAAAGAGCATACTTCCGCCAGATTGCCCAGATCGTCAAACTTTTGCAAGACTACAAGTTGCCGAGAACCATCAAGGGATACGGAGGGGTGATTTTTGACAACGACGGGAACATGGTGAGCTCGAAGATGTCATTGCCTTGTGGTGGTCCATTTCCGACATATGCAGCTCTTTTGAAGGGCATGTGCGAATGGCAACTCAGCGCAGCAGACCGAAGCCAGATCATCGGCGGATGGAAGGAGAGTGGGCTACGAGAAAGACTGGATCGGTTTCTAACCCATGGTCTGGATGAGCTTCTGAAGGATATACCTGAAGATCAACCGACGCTAATACATGCAGATATTGGTGAGTCTGAGCGTATGTAGGGAAATCTATGACTAACGCACCCCAGGTTCACTGAATATCATGGTCGACCAGTCCACTTCACAGATCACAGCACTCATTGACTTTGACTTTTCGCATATTGGTTCGCCCATCTCCGAATTCGTTCTTTCATTCTTGATTGGCTTCGACTATTGCTTACTCGGCTCGGCGGACGCATTAGAGATTCCAAAGCTCCGCGAATACATGCTTCGAGGCTTTCCCGAACAGTTATCTTACGAAGAGGGGAGAATGGAAAAGTCCAAGGTCTTGGATGAGGCGCTAAAAGAGGTTGGTGCTAAGCGTCCTTCTACAATTCACGGCGCCGACGTCTACTCGGATGTATGGTGGTTCTCGCAGGATATTTGCCAGGCTTACTGGCTCATGCCAAAATTCCTTGAAAAACGGACAAAGAAACAGTTGTTGGAGCTGAAGGAGTCTGGAGAGAAGAACCTCGAGTTCTATCTATCAAGCTGGGGCTACTGAAACGATGATTCATTTGGGTTGTGCTGATCCCTGAGTTCTTGATCTCTGTCGTGTGCGACCACCTTCGTCTAGGCTTTAGTTGAAGCGGTTCCGTGTGGACATTTCATTCTTCTTACAAACAGCAGAGCTCGAGAATTTAACCTCTATCATACTGCTCAATGGACTCTGAACAACTTGGGGACCTTGACTTGTTGGGAGTCAGAGCGACCTGCAGTCATGCTGAGCTGTCTTGGCATGCAGCCACTCGTGTCTGACGGGTCTACCTGGCCGCTGATGTGCCTGCCCTCGCACCCAACTCCGGATGCCATTACAAGATATCTTCTACTGTTTTCTCAATAGTACTGACTCCTCCGGCTTCATGATCCGAGTTGGAGATTAACGAAGCCATGGCAGATCCTTTTTTTTCTCGTCGCGTCAATAGCTGGCCTCGCAGGCTTCGGCGTGCAACTCGTCCAAGTGCTTAACGCGTATGCTGGCTCGGCGACCGATGCCAAGGGACGCATACGAGCCATCTCTAATGACATCAATATCACGGTGCAGGTTCTTGCCATCTTCAAGGATAACTTACAAGACGAGAAACATCGACAATGCATGACTAACGAAGCAGAGCTCCTCGCTGGAGATACAGTCCATATGTGTGACCATATCTTCAGAGAGATCGACAAGTTACTACAGGGAAGCAGCAAGAAGCCTCAAGGTAGTGCTGAGATAGGTCCTGTGACAAACGCGTGCAAGATCGACAACACAGTCTCATTGCTACAAAAGCTGAAATGGCCATTCGTTGAGCCGAAGCTTGATATATTGGGAGGCAATATGGAGAAGGTAAAGACGACCCTACAGTGATTGATGAGCGTCATCACGTTTGCAGTTATGTCAAAGACGTGAGTAGTCGATCTCATTGATGAACAGCTTCTCTGATTGGTGATCTAGGCATGCATCCCAAGCGCAGATTGACGATCAACTTGCAGAGATTGAGCGATTGAGGTTGCAGAAGGCCGAAGCGGACATCCAGCTTACAGTGCTGCTTGCTCGTCATCCTGTCCTGGAAAGTGACGGCATGATTACCATGTCACAAGCACGCTTCGAAACGCAATCGGGAGGAGTGAACGGAGGTAAGGAGATTTATGCTCTATCCACAGACTCAGGCACCTCGCAATTTGTCCCAAAGCTGAACGATTTCCACGTCTTAAATTCTACGCCGGCGGAGTTTCCGCACATGGAAACACTGCGGACGGATTATGTTGCATGTATACAACAACTGAACAAATCGCAGCTGACCTTGGAATACGCGCTTGATCAGTTATTCGTCCGTACAGGAGGTGGCTTTGAAGCTTTGAGGCCCGCCAACATCAACCTGGACTGGAGCACCAGGCTTGACGTACACGAAGCCGTAAGATAGAGTGCTCTGGAGACTGAGCAGTATCTTGAGGCACGTATCGTGAACTCACCAGTAATCGCTGTCATGCCCGAGGAGGCGAGAAATGCTTGTCACCCGCAAACAAGTATCTATCAAACCTTCTGAAGCTCTACATCAAGGCAGATTGACTCAGCAAAACGCTTTTCAGGCTCCGCGTAGCAGACCAGTATCCAGCACTCCCAAGGCGCGCTTGCATCTAGACGTGCCTTTTAGAAGTCCATCCCAAAGCCCTGCCCGAAGCCGTGCTGGAAACCTAGCTACAAGCGCTGGCGATCTCGCCCCGTCGTTGCTCGAGGGTAACCCGCATCAAGCTTTCCAGACTGACCTCCCAGAGACCATGCCCCCAGCATACGCTTTGGACAATCTTGGTGTTGTTAGACAGGCTGATATCCAGTCGCCGTCTGAGATGAGCATTGAATTCGTTCCACCCTCGCGACCCCTAACCTCTACATTTGCACTGCAAGAAGGAAAGGCTAGAGCCGAAGCAAAGCCAAAGACGGAGCCAGGAAAGAGGCAACAGCCAGAGTCCAAGCGAGCCAGATTGTCCCCGGAAGCAGAAGCTAGTCAAAAGGACGTGGACGTTCCCAAGGTTCGTCTGTACCGCCGTGGGCCGACTAGGCTCGCTCTATCACCCACGGAAGCAGATTTGACATCGAGTGACGCAGATGAGCTATCACTCGACTTGGAAGACGATGATGATGACGCAGGAGAGCTTGTTCTCAGCCGTAGTCGCACGTCCAGTAAGCCCTCATTATCATTACCGCAGCGCGACTATGTTCGCATTCTCGGCAGCCCAGATCGCAGTACACCCAACGCTCAAAATTCGAAGTGCGTACAGAAGCACCCCGCCAACTTCCAGTGCACTCTATGTCCCCGGAAATTTACGCGCGCATACAATTTACGCTCCCATCTACGCAATCATACCAACAAGCGACCTTTTACCTGCACCGTCTGCGACGAAGCTTTCGAGCATCAATCCGATCGCGAGCGCCACGAAGATCTCCATTCCGGCAAGACGAAGTTTGCCTGCCAAGGCGCACTATCAGCCGACGGACAGTGGGGCTGCGGTCGCCGATTTGCTCGCGCCGACGCCTTGGCTCGTCATTTTCACTCCGAGGGCGGTCGAGTATGTATAAAAAAACCCTTGCTCGATGAGGAGCAAGGTCTTGAGTCTTTGTATGGACTCTACCCTGAGCTCAACAAGGTTGGCGGGGACCTTCCAAGCGCACTTGTGTCTGGAAGTCACACAGCCGTGTACAACGAACGTAGCGATATTGATGCCAGTAGTGGTAATGAGTGGAACCTGGTCGAGGACAAATCAAGTAATGGCTCGGATCTACTGGTTGGAAATTGGAACGAATCAAAAGAACACACCCAGGAAGTACAAGTGGCTCCCGGAAACTTGGATATTCCAGGAGAAAGTACCATGAAGAAGCGTATTGAGCATGGTGAAT